TTGTGCCTGGCCTCGTCTGGAAGAACGAAGCAGAAGTCTTCGCAAGGCGTGGAAGGGAGCCGCGGTCCCCGCACCTCCAAACCTGCCTCGGTCGGCTATGGTTTTTGGTTTCGGTTTTGTGGATTGAGGTTGCCTGGATGTGGGTTTGAGGACTTACACGGCCGCAATTCTTAGGCCGGGGCATGAGCTATAGGGTTGAGGGACGTTCGGGGTCCAAGGTTGAGGTTGTTTGGGGGGGGGGGGGGGGGTTTAGTGATCGAAACATTCTGGTCTGCAAGGAATTGTGCTTGAGGTGTCCATGGATCCTGCAGTCTTGACCCTAAACCCTAAAGCCCCTAAACCCCTCTTTGAACGAGGTCTCTCTGAAGTGCCTCCAAGCTGCCCGCCTCATCGATAAACCCTAAACCCCTAAACCCCCAAAACCCCTAAACCCTTATAACCCCATATAACCCTAAATCCTGCAGTCGTCGAGCTAAAGCTTTCCTGGCTCTCTCGCAGTTGAGGGGCGTGAAACTTGGCTCTCGGTGCAACATATGGGGGGTTTGAGAAGTTGAGGCTTAAGGATTTGTAGGAGCTTTCAAGCTTCGGGGTTTTCGGGTGTAGGGTCTGCAGAGTTCAAGGGATTTGTAGGATCCAGAAGCTTTGGGGCCAAGGTTTAGTCAACCCCGGCCCGGAACTTCGAGGGCCCCAAACCAAGACGCCAGCAGAAGTGCACTCTTTAAACCTTTCCCTGGCTAGATTCGAAAGCTTAGAATCAACGAAGTCTGAAACAAAGCACCGCGCCACGCACTCTGTCCGAAGCTTAGCTCGCGGCGTATTCAACCAAGAGGTTTATCTTTGTGCCCATGTACGTCCTCAGCCAGTCTGCAAGCCTTCAACCATGAAGCCCTTTAAAACGAAGACTGGTACAGGATTTTGGCATGTATCATATGATTTCTGCATACTGTTCAGAGCTGTAAATACGCCTGACAGACGTGGTCTCGCGGGTCGGTGCGTGACTACTGACTACAGGAAGGCCCAATCTCACGAACGGGGGAGGTTCCCAGCTTTTCATCCTGCTGCAGCTCAGCTGGAGTACGTGATGGTGAGGTGACATTTGCCTTCGGCAACTGCCACCCGACAGACCAGAATTCGTTTTGGCGCCATGAACCTTGCAACAGAAGACTTCAGGACTATGTGCAAGTCCGGATCCTAAACCGAAACCCCAACACCTTTCACCGACACCTTTCCCAGGTCTGTCTTCTGGTCCGTAAGGTCAGGAGATGAGCTAAATTAAAGGATGCCTTTCCGGCCACGCCGGAAGCCGCATCAGGGTAGCCGCCACCCCTTTTCAAGGTTTCGGGCTTAGCGCCCTTATTGAAGAATTCCTTCAAACCGCACACGCCCAGACCCCAAAGCTGCAAAAATTAAACAAACCCACAACCGCGATTCGTCCTTGATCCCTGAATCCTAGGTCCTGAGCCCGACCTTTCTCCACCAAGGCTACCCTAAGCACAACCATGAACCTCGGGGTGAGTTACAATGGCTACTGAACCCTCAACACTGTAAAGCAAACAGGCTGAGGAGGGCGGCCCCCCAAGAAGAGCCCAACCGTTCTGCTGCGTTGCAAGCGATGCTTTATTTCTGACGCTCTCTGGACTCCGTTAAACGTTAAATTAAACCCATCATTCAACCATAAAGGCTTGACGACTATGTTTGAGTCTGCGCTGAGGGACATAGATGTCCCGAGGGAAATATGGTGACTATGCCGTTAAAAGTTCTTGCAACCTCAAAGGTCTTGCGCTCTGTTTCGGGCTCCAGATAATGCTCAAGCATTTCTAGCTGCTCGCTGAACTCGCGTGAGTTGCAGCTTTGCATGTGTACAGCGCTACATCAGGGCAACCCGAGGCACCGCGCCTGCACTGCAGAGTCTATGGGCACGGTAACAGCCAGGATACCGGATCCGCAAACGCTACTGAGCCGCTACTGCACGAGCCCATTGATCAGACTTGATATGAGGCAACAATACTACCGACTGCTCAGGAGCCATTGAAACGATTAGGTTGTGTTGGAGCATGGCCCTTAACCCGGAAAAAACCAAGCCCCGAACCCTAACCCCTAAACTGCAGAACTTGACCTAAACCTCAATTTGCGTCACTGCTCCTTGTTAGAGCTGCCGCTTCCTAGAGACTGGAAGCTTGGACGGCTGTTGATCCTCGGCTGTGACAGATTCAACAGTGTACATAGGGGTCAGGGCTCTGGGGTGGCTTAGTGCTTAGGCCTAGAACTAGACAGAGCGAGCGAGAGAAAGAGAGAGAGAGCGAGAGAGAGAGAGAGAGAGAGAGAGAGAGATAGAGAGAGAGAGAGAGAGCCAGAGGGAGAGAGATATGGAGAGACAGCGACGGAGAGAGAGAAAGAAAGAGACAGAGAGGGAGAAAGGGAGTGAAAGGGAGAAGGAAAGCCAGAGAGGGAGAGGAAGAGATGGAAGAAAACACAAGAACAGCACCGCAAGCAATGGTCTAATTAGGATGTTGAGGTTCGGCCGATCCTTTTTTGAGAAGGATGCGCAGGTCCAAACTTCAGATTTACTCGGGCTCATTGCTCAAAACAAAGCCCGCGGCATGGCAGCATTCATAGGGCTGTAACAAGAAGACTTGGCAGCTAGAATTAATGAAGTACGGTGTTTAACAGTCGTATCCCCATACCAACACCCAAAACACACACACACACACTCTCAACAACTTATTCAAGGAGCCGTTGCTAATATACACTCACCCAAATCCAGAATATGATCCTACTTCAAATGATATCTCAGATTTGTGCTTGAAAACGGTTCCCCGCCACAGGTTTGGCAATCCTGTCAACTTTATCCCGTGCTCAAGAGACTTTGAGCAAGCTGGGGTCTGCAATGATGACGCTTCTTGTGGCCGGAAAATATTGAGCCAAGGATTGTTTGGAACATGTTTAGGTCCATCCCTGGCTGTGCTGCACCAAGGAGCGACACTCGGCGATTCAGCTTCGGCGACAGCTTCCCCTTGGAAAGAGTTGAGGGGGTTCAAGGTCGAGGTCAAATGGCTTCGAGCTCACTTCAGGAAATTCCGCGTTTCTGGTGCCTGGCTGTTTTCGAAAGGCCATATTGGCTATGGGCTCTGGCCGTAAGGCTCATGGCTCGATCGAGGGATTGAATCACGAATTTGCTGAGTTAAGGTCGGTAAGGCGGCTCGTGAGGCATGGTTCCGTCGTGAGTGCCTCTGGGCTTTACATCTTGGGATTTGAGATTAGGCCTTGGCCTCAGGCTAAGGACTTGACTCGTGGTCGAACAGACCACTGCATGCTACAGACCCGTAAACACAGGATACTCAAAGTCCTTACCCTGACAGTCTCAGAATTCGCTTGAGGCCCTACACCGTAAACCCTGGACCCCATGGATCCTAAGCTCTTCGGCCCTATAAGCCCTTAAGCGCTTGAGACCACCAGGTTACTGCTGTACACAATCGTGTCAAGGTGTCCAAGCAGGTTGGGCCAACCAGCCCTGGCTCTGGTCCGATAGAACTATGGCTGGAGATTATGGGCCACCTGAAAGTCGAAATTGAAAACCCAAAACCCTAAACCCAACAATGAGAGTGCGGAACACAAGGGAGGGAACTGGCACTGCGTGTCGCATCCTCAGCCCAAGTTAATAAGATCCACTGTTGGGCTATAGAGGGAGGCATCCAGGACCCGCCACCAAAGCCAAACAACCAGGGCAAGAAACGAATTCATCCGTCGTCGCCATGAGGTGGACGTCGTTCGCGACTTTCTGCATCACCCCTGTCGAAGCACGAATATAGGGGCGATGGAAGCCAAGAAGCGTCTTTCTTAAAGGCCTCGTTGATACAAGAAGAGATAGTATACTGTGCAGGGTCCAGAAGACGCTCACCGGTGAGCCGCGAACGAAAGCTGAGAACCCCAGGCCCACCACGCAAGGAGGCGGATGTACGTCTTTCAGACTGTGCAAGAACGATGGGGAATGGAGCCATCTCTTTGCGGGCTCTTCGTGAAGCCATTGAGTGGCGGCTGGGTTTCAGCCTGGTCCATTGACAACCTGCAATACGGCAGGTTGAAGAGGTGGCTGATGTGACGAGTCAGCAACCAAGTGCTTTGAACGACGTGGACGTGAACTTTTCCTGTCGCTTATGTAGTGACGTCGAAGACGTTAGAGTTTGTGCCGGGGCACCAACAACAGAACTCCGGTGATCAAGACCAACTTTAAGAAAATGATCTGCTTGTGATCGAAGCTTTTAGTAAATTTGGGCAATGCCTGCTGTGCCTTTCGGCAGTGTACTGTCATTATGAAGGATACGGTTCGGTTTAGTCAGGGTGGCCTGCCGAATAAAGTAGATTATGTTGCTAACTTTGGGGTTTCTGTTGTAGGCCTGCTTTCAAGACGATTGTTGAGGTCGGTAGTCCATGCTTAGTTTTCTGACCTTCAACTTTGAACTGCGGGCAGATTTGGCCTTCATTTGACAGCGCACTGTGGATTCATATTGGGGTCCGTGATTATCGGAAACTTCAACTTGAAGGACTGCAAGGAGGCGGCGCCGGAGGTTCGGCTTATTTTCTGTTCCGTTCGCACTTCGACTTCGCGGGTGCCCCTACAGGCTTTTACTGGCTTAGCTACATGGTCCTTAGAAGCCTTTGTTCAAAAGACCGTCAGAAATCCTCTTTCTCACTCCCAGGCATTCAACATGTCAAAACCCTCAAACCTCGGACCTCTCTTTGTGAGTATTGCCCCTGCTACTACATTTGTTGGCTGGTGCCTAGAGAGGCTGGACTGTCGACAACCAGACAGACAGACAGACAGACATCTTCACCCTCGTCGACTAAACCACCTCGCTGAAGTTTTATCAAGCAGCTGAAGAAACCCGGTAGAAACCGGTAGAATCCACGTTGCAACCCAGTAGTTGTGCTGGGTTCACGAACCCTGTCAACAAAAACTGACCCAAGACCCTCATTCGACCACGTGTCTTTTCTAGGCTGGCCTTGCTTCGAGGTTCTATTCGGTGTGGTAGGCCTGTCATCATACAAGCTTCCACAGGAAATTCCATGCTTATGTATTTGAAGGCTTCTCGCTCGAGGCGAATTTGTGAGCTAAACCCCGAACCACAGCACCTTGACCTCACATCTCAAAGCATACACGGTTCAAGCTGCAGTTTCTAGAAGGCAGCTGCGAGTCCATGCATCGCCTGCGGTAGCATTGTGCCAGCAAGCCACGAAGGCACCGGCTCTAGTGGGTTAGGGCAGGGTTCCGGTCTGGATGTCTGCATAGTGAGGATCCTAGAATCCTAGAATCCTGAAGGCTACGATCCCGAGTTCAAGAATATTGAGCCTTCCTTAATAGGTATATTTAATTTAATTTTTGTAGACGGACCTTGATACTGTTGCCCGCAACAAACAGCGGGTTATTGATCAGGTGTCGACATGACCGTGGCTGGGAGCCTTGAAACCTCCCCTGTCAATCAAACTCCCCTAGGACCGACCCAGGGTCCGGACATCCATCGTTGAAATCCTCAATTTCGGGCCATGGAAAAACTCAAGAATTCCACCAAAATACACTTCCCGAACCCTGCGCCCACAGCGCTACATTCCCGAAACCCGCTACATCTCTGACGAACTTTCAGCCCAAATCCGGAGCACCTCTGGACGACGCATGCGTCAGCTTCCGCGGATCCTTCGGCAAGTAGAATCGGAATGTAACATGTGGCTGTGAGCATAAGTTTGCACATGTGCATGTGTCTATATATATATATGTGTGTATATATATATGTATATATATATATATATATTATAAATTTGTGTGTTTACTTATCTATTCATTTACTTACTCATGTATGTATTTACATGGTTGAGTCCCGGCGGCCCTCTCACCACTCCAGCGGTATCCCTCCATTTGGTCAACCCCTATCGATGTATTTATGCACCTATCGATCAATCGATCTACCGTTCTATCCATCCATCCATCCATGTGTGTGTGTGTGCGCGTATGTAGAGAGGGAGAGAGATACCCGCGCGAACACACACACGCACACAAACCACCCACCCACACACACACACACACACACCCACACCCACACCCACACCCACACCCACACCCACACCCACACCCACACCCACACCCACACCCACACCCACACCCACACCCGCGCGCACACACACACATATATATATATATATAATACAGATAAATAAATACACTCATACAGACAAATAAATACAAGAGTGTAGTCCTGATCACACCAGCGTCTGATATGTGAGTGTATGATCGATTGAACGAATGTATGTTTATATGTATATGTGCATGTAAGTGTCCGGATGTCTATATATACATCTTTACATAGACATGCAATATACACACCTACATATGTGCATACAACATACAGGCATACATTTACATGCATGTGGATGGACGGACAGCTGGATATGAGGATGTGTGGATCTATATTACATATATATATATATGTATTTATTTATTTATTTACAAATGTACATATGTATGTCTGTGTGTGCGTGTGTGTCCCCCTCTGTCTTTCTCTGCGTGTGCGAGCGAGCGAGCGAGAGCGAGCGAGAGAGAGGTCTTGGTGTGTATGTGGGCCTCCGTCGCTGATGGTTTCGGGGCTCACTCCCTTCAGTTGCTTGTCTTGTCTCTTCATCCATTTCATCATGCACAGGGGTGTAAAGGTAGTGTGTGGGGGGGGGGGGGGTGTCTGGCCACCCAAAGAAGCTCTCCTCCACACCCCAGGTAAACGTACCTGCACCTTTCCCGCCCCTTGACGGTTTTGGTTTAGTCGTGAACGGCTGGAGACAGGCAGTGAGGGCCACCCCCCGATCTTATGCTACCTGGCCTTGCACCATCGCCAAGGTAGCACATCATCAAGTCTTTCCTCGTCAAATCAGCAGATGATGGAGAACACAACCCACATCTATCCTATGTTTCATCGTCTCACGGGGACACGCACCAAATTCGGCATCACCATCATCATCATCAGCAACAACAACAACACGTCATGCAAGGGTGCGTCCGGATCTCTATAATCTACAAGGTTAGCAGCCCATTGCCCGCAGCCACGTTTGTGAAAAGATATATATATATGTATATATATGAAGGCATATAGGAAATTCAATATTTTTGTATGTATGGAGGTATATCATGCTGAATGCTTATGGTAATGAATTGTGTTCGGTGTTTTCTCAATGGTGCAGCGGCAGCACTGAACACACACACACAAACACTAACGACTGTGCAAGATATAATAATATAGTACATACTTACAGAGCACACATCTATGTAAATATAAATAAGTATAAATATAAATATAAATGTAAATATAAATATATGTGTGTGTATAGATGTAGATATATGATTAGAAACACAGCACCAAAACCCTCTGCACACAAGCAAACAGCACCGCCTGGCAGAAGTCGGCGGAGCGCTTCAAGCTCTGACCGGAGCTCGTCGGCCTCTCTGTCTGAGAATGAGCTTTGGGGGTTGAGGGTTTAGGGCTTCAGGTTTAGGGTTTTAGGGTTTTAGGGTCTAGGGTTTTGGGGCTGAAAATTTTTGTTGCAAAGGCTCACGGATAGTAGGCACGGATTCACGATGAAAGTCCCTAGGATTTGGGGTTTGTGGAATGCGGATTGGTTGAAGGTTGAGGTTTCAAGGCTCCGAGCTCAGGCTTTCGGCCTTGGCCTCGTAGGGTGGAGGGATGCTTGGGGGAATGCGCTCTTGGCTCCGATCAAGGCCGCAGTGTGCGGTAACGCCTATATGTCAAATGAGTGCTTTCAAGATTCTACACAATGTGATGCAAAATCTTGAGTGAATCCTGAAGTCCCTCCACGGTTCTGCCTACAGTCAAGCTTGACAAGCCTGGCCGTCTACACATCCATCTGTCATCATCTGTCCAGGGTATCGAGAGTCAGCGGTTCATGAGAAATGAAAGGCAACGGACAACCAAGGCCACTATGGCCAGTCGGTCTGCGGGCTCTATGACTTTGCAATGTTTTCCCTTGCAGCCTGAATCCTCTCTTCCACCACCTAGCCGACCTAGCCGTCCACCCTCTAAACTACAAACACCGACATTTGTCAAACACCGCTTGGTGCGCCAAAGGCCTGCCTTCGCCTTCTCCTCATCATATCTCTTTTCCAGCCATGCCCTCTCTTCCCTTTCCTCGCGCATCACCGCTTTGAGTGATGTCGAAGAGGTTAGGCCCGGTTAGGCATAGGGATCAGTGAATCAGCGTCCATGAGCTTTATACCATCACTCCGCGGAGGCTTTCGGGTTTGGAACATCAAGACGAGAGTCCGCCTTACACTGGAGTATCAGTTTCCCTGAAGTTGATGAGCTGTGCTCGTGAGGATGCTTGGCAAAAGCGGCCCATACGGGAGGTGACAACTCAGAACAACACACTCAGGGCACATTAAGCAAAAGTGCCCGTTACATCCGCTGTTCCCCAGCTCGTCTGTCCCGCAGCTCCAAGCCGCGAATCGCCGACGAGAAGGTCAAACGAGCTAAAGCAATGCATAGCGACAGGTTCTGCTGCAGCTAGATGGCAACTGTCCGGAGTACCTTGCAAACTTTGAAGCCTCAATTAAACCAGTTCAAAAAAAGGACACGAAACCCTCCAAATGCAAACCGTGGGAAGCATACATGTACCCCAGCCCCTAACCCGAAAGCCCCTTAAACCATAAACCCTAAAACATGTTTGGGCAAACTGTTTAGGTCCTTGTCGATGACTTTTTGGAGCCAATCCTGGCAGGCAGACAGCCTAAATGCTACATGCTACCGATAGCGCGGTGCTCCATGTTTACGGAACAACTGCAACACTTTCTGACAGGGACGAAAAATGCACATTTGCATGGGTGTAACAGCTTTCTTGCATGCATTGCCGCCTGTCTGCCTACCTGCATAGGTAACAGCTGCAGCGGCTGAGACAGAGTTTGAATATAACACGTCTCGAGTAAGCATGATCTGTTATCTCAGTTTTGCACACCTGTCCTGTTCTCGGAATCTTGCTTAGCACTCGCGTAGTAGACTGTTGCTCGGCCCACCAAAACTGACATGCGTGAAGACTGATCGCCACAACTTGCTTGCCCGGCATCCTAGGAGAACTAAAGGTCAACCTTTGGGATTGTATAGATATTCTAGTGCCCCGAACATGTTAAACGTTACCCACTCTGCTACAAAGATTCGCGTCAGTGCCGATGCTACAAACCGACAAACCGAACCCGGAGATCCTAGAGCAAATGCATGGCAAGAGCCACTGAACAACACAAACACAAACACAGAAAGACAGACAGACAGACAGACAGACAGACAGACAGACAGACAGACAGACAGACACACACACACATATATATATATATATATGTATGTATGTATGTATGTATGTATGTATGTATATTTATATATATACACGTATGTGTGTATGTATGTATGCATGCATGCATGCATGTAATTATGTATGTATGGCTGTATGGCTGTATGTTTGTTTGCTTGTTTGTCTGTTTCTATGATTATGTGCTTATGTGCGCAATATCTTCTTGTACATTCCCAATACATTTACACATACACCAAAGAACAACGCGGTAAAGATCTGACGACTTTTGACAACACGATAGTCATCCACATCAAGTCGAGGGGGACTACGAACAACTTAGCACTACTAGCGATGAGACTTGCTCCACCCAGGCTCTGCCTCAACCTTCGCTGGTACTGCAGGGACCGAGGACCCAGAACCCATGGCAGAAAGGGCCGCAGGCTTCAAGGTCTCAGGGTAGGTGCGGACTCCTGAGAAACCCTACACCCTCAGCCGATTGTTGGGGATCCGGAGCCCGTCGAGGGAGAAGAAGTCTATTCTGGGGTGGAAAGCCCCTGCGGCTCTGAAGGTTCAGGCCAAAGGTTTGGGGGTTCAGTGGGTTGTAACGGGTTGTAATGGTTTAGGAGAGGTATCCGGTTTTGTGCTAGGCATGAGAGATGGGGATTTCGGCGCTTCCGGGTTTCTCATGGCCCCTTCAGAAGGCAAGGTCTTGTTGTGTTTAGGGTTTAAGACCTGAGTTTAGGATATTTTTTGCCACTCACACTCGGCAGAAAGGATTTAGGTCTGAGAGTGCCGGGCTTAGGATTTCAGTCTCATGGTTTAGTTGGTCGCGTGAATAGCTGCAAAGCATGGGTAAGTTGATGACCTTCCGGCTCAAAGCATGCCATGACATACCATACCATGCCACAGTCTTTGAGCCCAGCTGGCCGGGCAAGTGAGGCCTTTGATGCCACTCTGCCCTTGCACCCTAGACACTGGACCATGTGAAGATTCCAAACGCCCTGGTCGTTGTTTCCTTGCTGAAACTGTCAGAGCTGTTACCAAGATAGAGTACTTCAGACAGTCATGAGATAGTTAAACGAGCACTGTGAACCAACAAGAGATCTGTGACAAGTTACGACAGCAGCACTAAGATGTAACAGTAGTATCTACCAGTGAAATATGCCAGATGTCTGAAGCCGATACCGGTAATGAATTAACACGTTTCTCCCTATTCCCGTAGATGCTGAAATACCAGGAATTCACTTGCCCACTGTCCACAAAGTCGTTCTTAAACTGACTAGCGAATTAGATAAGACAGCTCGTTAGCTGGCGAGCTAGCGCAGTGACTGAATCCCACTAAATACCTCTTTATCTAACTACCCAATTGCCAAAAAAGCAGACTGACTGCTTGACTGACCTGACCTGATGCGACCTGATCGAACCTAACGAAACGGAGCCAAATCGAACCAAACCAAACCAACCAACCCAGATACAGATGCAGATAAAGACATGGCCGGAGATATAGATAGACATATCAGCTCGATGGACAATCCACACTAGGCTCTGAGCTCGCTGCTCGCGGGGGTAATCGGAAGGGTCGGTCTCTGGGCAGGGCAACCAACAGGTCGCTGAGTGGTTCACTTCCTCGGCTCGTTTTTCCATGTTTCGCTTCCTTTGGCTTGGGGTGTGTGGCCATTTCGGCTTCCTTAGGATGGGGCGTGCACATTTTCTGTTACGTTTGAGAAGCCGACACTGAAACCGAAACCTCTCAGGGGCGAGGGCAGGCGACCCCAGGCAGTAGGTTTCTGTCAAAGCTCGGGCTTTGGGGGCTTGCCCTGAGCTCAGGCTTCACCAGGCTTAGGGTTCCGGTTCAAGATTGACTTCTTCAAGAGCTGAAGGGACGACGGCACCTGAAACCCTAGCACGCTACACAATGGCTCCTGCGGAGAGGTTGCAGGGCCGACCACCGGAAGTGTCAAAGGGGTAGCTGCATCGGACAGCACAGCACCACGCAAGCAGGTTGCACATCTTGGATAGTCACAAAGCTAGCTAGCGAGCCTCTGTATCACTGAAGGGTAATCCCTTGGTTCATGATCATTGGGATCTCTGCAAAAATCTGTAGGCCCTAAACCCACCTAGGCACAGCCCTTTTAGGCACAGCCCTACATTCCCTAACACCCCATTCCAAACCACTCTATTCCCTCAACCCAACACTCTAAGTCACTCACTCACTCAAGCTTGGGAAGTCTGGGCGAAGGTCAAGATCTACGCATGCAGGCCAAAAGCTGTGCTTAGCACGAGCAGGAAAAAAGCGAAGCCCCATAATCCTAAACCACCTAGACCCCAGCATCCTACAACCCAACCCTAAACCCTAAA